AACATTTGAACACTGAAATATGAACTGCTGAAACTAATATATAAGAGTTGGATGCATTTTAGAACATGTTTATGGAGGTCTAGAGCGCGTAATATTACATTATATGCAGGCATTATTGCACTGAAATCAATTGTGTTTCGCTAATTAATTTCAGTTTGATTAAAAAATGATAATGTTATGGCATGAATTAACCCAAAGCAAACCTCATGGCCAGTATAAAATCTGCACAGAGCCCCTCAAATTGCATTGCAGCACAGTATTCCCATGGCTTAAACAGGTCATCTGACAGGGCAACACTGAAACAAGAGTCAAGACAAGTAGCTCACAGGTCAAATAAGCAGAGATCAACTGAAGGATTTGCAATGCACATTTTATTTGAATAAAAAAGGCATTGTGGTGAATTCCCAGCTGACAGGAACACACCCGGGACACTGGTCTGGTTTCCTGTTGTTGTAATGGCCTCTGAATGGACAATAAATGCAAATCCAAACTGACTGTACGGTAATCCAGAGGGCGCTGTGCTATCATTTTAAAACATTAGCGCTCTTTTGTGTTTTTGGATAGCTTTAAATTATTGATAATTTCTGCACAAGTTCCCATATGCCCAGTATCCCAGGGCTATAGGGCTGTGACATGAGGCCTTGTGAGAAACAGGCAGTGCAGGGACTGACAGGGTTGGAACTCTTTTGAGTCCACTCTCCCCAGGGGGAGTCCTCTTTCAGCGCAGTCACAAATCCAAAAAGACCAGTTCAGGGGCAAAGCTAAACAGTTATCTACCCATCAATACGACACAATAGGATAACACTAGAACTGAATGACTAAGAAACTGGTAATGGACAAAGGTGGGAGTTACTGAAAGATACTTAAAACAGGAAACTGAAGTAGATACAGATCATATGGGTCACAGGGGCGCATGCCTTTATTGTAATGCAGAGAGAGATACCTTCATGACCTCATAGAAGAGAGCATTTGACAGGCATGGACTTGGACACAATCCTGTTATTCCTGGTCAAAGATAAAAGCAGATTCAGAGCTTGTTTGCTACCTTCCTGACAGGCTAATTAACTTCTTGGCACCCAAGTGAAATCCAAAGAGCTGTATTTAAGCCATAAATGACGTATTCACTCAACAACTAAAAATCTCCATCAAAACAAGGTGAAAACCTGTCAATAATTAAAATAATTTATGGATTTATAATTTTGGATTTTGTATGAGATGCCACACCTACACTTAACAGTTTAGGACTTGACAGTTACAAGCCTGATGAGCCAAACTATCCTTGATTCAGTGGTCTTGCCAATGTCAGCTTCCATAATGACGAATAAGGATCATATTTAGCAAATGACAAGCAGCGTGCGACTTTGAAGTATACAGCATGCAATAATAGCGTGGGTCACAACAATGTAACAATGGCATTTGCATACTCTCATTAAAAAGTACTGAAGAAGGCGACGTGTTAAAGGGCTACACATGACATATGGTTTGGCCATCACACCACACCACATGTCGTGTTAAAGGATCAGAGCTAATGCTGAAGGAAATACTCCTCAGGGCATCTGCACTTCTGAAAAACAATTGAGTTTTAAGTCAAAAAACAAAAGCCCTTTCACTTGTAATAAACATCCACCAGCTACTGTGTTTGAGCCCCTTGAACAATGTAAGTCATTAACTGTCTCAATACACAAAAGAAGCCCTGTGTAACTGGAAAACAACCTGAGGCAAAGTGGACCACAGGGCTGCATTAAGTTCAGTTTAAGACTAAAGCAACTTTTAGCAGACTGTCACAGCCAAACCCAAACCCAAACTCTAAGCAAACAATAACAGCATTTGTTTTAGTTCAGTTCTGCAGTTTTGTGGGTCAGTAGACCAAGAGTTTTCCCCAGAATTAAACATTTATGAGCATGAATTTATTTTTATCACTGCAAAATAGATAAGCAGATGTCTGGTACATTGGTATACCCTTCTTTGTTCACAGGTTTAAAAGTTTAGCCTCAAAATACCCCCACTCAAGTTGAGCATACAGCATACAAGAAGTATTGCCTTACATGTTTAAATGGTAGATGACAGTTATAAGAGCCACAGTTGTTGCTTATGGTGTATTCGATTACTCAAGCAGTTATATCGTACTCCAATGCCTCCAAGGCTTATAGTCGTTTTTCAAATCATAACAGTGAAAGCAATATTATAATATTTTGGCTGTCATTTAAAACAACATACTTGATAAAGGTCTAAAGGAATTAAAGTAAATGTCAGTTATCTTTGTCACCAGTCCACACATGGAATGTTTGCAAGAGTCTGCAAATCCAGAGGTTTGGGGGCAACTGCTGAGTCAGGTTTTCACTTGACTGAATGCATTGGAGCCAGTTGGGACAACTAATCCTGTGTCCCAGCAAGCCATGGACAGCTCTTTTCAATGGGCACACAGAGGCTAAGCAGCACACACAATCGCCTTTAGCTCCCCAGCTGTGAGCACAGGCCAGGGAGCCACTAGAGTGAGTGTGGCATAGAGGTGGGTGATATGGCAAATCACAGCCAGATCCCAATATTAATTTTATCATGATTCATGTACACTTTAAAATAACTTCACTGTGAGAAATAGTACAACAATATGACCAAAGCAGAATATCACCACTGAGACAAGATCTCGATTAGATTTTCATCGACTTATCGCCCAGCCTTACTGTGGCATCTTTAAGATATAGTAAGCAAATGTTTGAGAGGAAAGTGTGTTTCACTGGTGTGATAAACAGACCATTCCTTCTCAGGTCTTATAATATACACAGTACAATGGCTGTGTTTATAATGACAGCAACAGGACAACTTCCACCCACTGGTTGAATTTTTACAGCACACACTAGACATACCAATGCTGTGACTGAGGTCAGGTTCAAAAACTAATCATGATGTCACTGTCATTATGAAAGAATTCCCCTGAGCTTCTGAAACCAATTAGTTTTATCTGACGCCACTTTCTTCGAAGGAATTACACTTTAAGAATTAAAAGATGATCAGTTTCAAGATGATGAAATGTATACTGGACTATACCCATCATGAAATAACCATTTTATTACAAGAAGGCATAGTCCTTGTCGTTGTATCATACAGACCATAAAGACAATTTGTTGACTTTTTTTTTTTTTTTTTTTTGTACGTACGTTAACCACCTGTGCTCTAATTCCAAAGGCTACAAGGGGCTACTGTCAGAATAGGCAATATTTGATCAGGCTACATCTCCCTTGTAACAGGATGAGTCGAACAGAGCTGAGCTGACACTGCACTGGGAGGTTGTGAACAGACTCAAGTAGCTTCAAAAATGCAGCTCTATTGTTATGAGCGCGCCTCCGTGCAGCACAAGTATGCTGTCACTCACTCTGCTCAGTATCTACGAAACCAGAGATAATCTGGGCAGCTCGGGGTTAATAGTTCAGGCAACGGGCTATGCTATCTGCCATACGACCTATTTCACTAAAACTGATCATATGTATCCAAAACTAAACGTACCTTTCATCCACTCCACAACTTGCTTTGGGGTCCACTTGGTTATCGGCTCCATGGTGTCTTCAAAAGGCTACTATCGGGTTAAAAATGTAGAGCAGTGTGCCAATTGTGGCGAAAAAGTCAAACAAAACACGGTCAGAGAGTTGTCACATTTTCTGAAGCTGCGGCGAGGAGTTCCCGTGTGTTTGTGTTCGGAGCGCACACTTCAGTCACTTCTCAACTCTGTCCACGCATGACTAGAGCACGGGAGGCCGGCCTAAAATCCCCCACAGCTCCCGAGTCCCCACAGCTCCCAGGCGCACAGGCGTGTGAGTGGTGGTGCCTTCATGGTGCAGGAAAAATGCTGGGACTTTATACAACTCAGCAGAATGTAGAAAGTTCAGTCACGCAAAAAGGAAACAGTAGGCACGAAGTCTAACTCGTAGGTTATATCTTACCTATTTTTCTCTTAATATTTTATCATTCACTAATGGAAACGCCTTTAAAATATTTAATGTTTGATAAAATGATATAATGAGTGTAATCTCTCATTCGTACAGGAGTGGTTCAGAGTTGAGACAGTTTCAGCTGTAGTCAACTGCGTCTTGATCGCAAAAATAATATCCATATGACCACCGTTGAAACCGTCTCTACTTTATAACTCTCTATTGTAACAGCTGTACTAATATAATCTGAAATTTACACATGTCACTTGAACGAGACTGTTGTGATGTTTGTAAAGCTCCACCCTTATTTGAAATTAGAGGCGTCCTCATTACATGTGGTAGCTTTAATGTTTGTTTTTCAATCATCTTTACACAGGACTGTTTGCCTTGACTAAAACCGAAGGCAAATAAGTACATGTATGAAGCATTTCTGTGGCCTGTATCTCAGAATTTAACTGGACCTTTAATTTAACCCTTAACTTACCTTTAATTAGGCCTTGGATCTAATTTTATTGAAGGCTTTAACAAATATAGGTCTATTAATCATAACACATATTTGGTCTAATCAAATCATGTAATTTTTGTTTTCACACGGGTCACATTACTCAGTTTTACTTTTCTGTTTGTATACTGAAGCAATTTATAGTCTACTGCCATCTGTTGGCGTCACTGTGAAATAATAACTTTACTTTTTAATTAAAATTTTATAGGACTTGTCGTTGACATTCCTGGGAATAAACATACTCAGTGTGAAGCCTATTTGTTATTGCGGGTTTTAAAATATGGATATAGGAATATTACTCTCACTTTAGCTAATTACAGATTTGAAGTATTTAGATTTAGTGCAATCTGAGTAAGGTCAACACGATTAACGCCATTGTGGGAGTTGGAGCAGAGAATGAAATAAAGGCTGATGGGCAAAAACGGTCAAGTGTTTACCCAATGAAGAACAGAATGAATTGTTGAATAAATTAAACTCTGTGTTGTATACTCCTGTAAGTGTATTTTTATCCCCAATACTTCTAAGGAAAAATACACCCAAACAAAAACCTGCTAAAACATATAAAGACACACATGTTTTTGAATCAACATTTATTTTACAGTCAAAATACAGGAAGTTCAACTTTGGCACTTTATACTATGCTGGCTCTCACATTTAGATCAAACTAATTATGGCAAGATACACAAATACCAGCACTTGAAAGTCTAATACTATTTCTGATGAGACTGAGAGATATATACTCAGTCATGTTATTTGTAAATAACTGAGAATATAGTGTATATACTGGATGAAGAAAATAAAAATAAAAACATATACATATACTTTGTATACTAAATACAAATATTTAAAGCCAAACTAAACTAAATATTAACAGATCTCATATGGAACATGCTTCCTAATATAGGGCTGGAATACAAACATTGACTCTTAGATTTCTAGTCTAAGCATTAAAAGGGACTATAAAGAAGGCAGTGTAGCTTTAGCACAGAGGATCGTGTGTGCTGATCTGAATGATGGTGACTGAAGCCTTCACGAGGAAAAAATGGGGCCTTAGAGTTACTTAAAGTATTTGATTTTATATACATTTGACTACAACGGTATATCAGTGTACTTGTTGATACTCTTGTTCATAGATTTAGTGCAGTATATTTTCTAATACAGATTTTCATGGGGCATTTGATGGGTTTGTAGAAACTGCTGGTTTGGCATTGAGGTACTCAAGTACAAAGACTTGAATGATCTTATTGAGGTTTTGAATGGAGGCACGATCCAAATTCTGCTCATTGTCATCAAATGTGTGCCAGACAGTTGGGAATGGAGAGGGGATGAGGTGGAGAACGTGCACACCTGTGCAGAAAGTAAAGAGTATATTATCTGACAAGTAAAACAAATAAAATCTGAACATAGTATAGTCTGAAGTACCTCTCATTAGGAATGGTATGTGGTCATCTTGGACACGGCCTACAGGAACATTTGGCCAGAAATACTGAATGTCATTTGGATGATCCACGAGTTGGTTCATGGAGTGAAGACGGCGTTCTGTGAAAACAATGATAAAAAAAAAAGATAAAAAAATTACAATAAAAACATCAGGTCAGTACCTTGTTACTTTGCAGAGGGTAGGGCAGGGCAGTAATAATACACCAGTGCTGCAGTGCACATGCAGTTAAAACATGCAAAGTGGAGGGACAGACTAATAAAACATATTCATCACAGTGTCAGGATTTTGACTCTACATTCAACCTACTCTAGATGTTGAAAGCGCTCTCTTCTTAAATTGAGAATTCACATTTATATTTGGACAGTAAAGGTGGCAGAGAAAAACTTATGTGTCCGTAAGAGATTATACCTATGTTTTGGAGTCTGGTGAGCCAGCGTAATGTGCTGGAGAACTGGTTTCCAAAGCGAGGACTGGGGGCACCAATCAGGTCCAACAGGACAAACAGATCCTGAAACAAGAAGGTTTTAGTAACTTAGGGAACTGTTTGAAGAATTTCCTTTGTTTAAAGATCTTTTTTATATTGACTGTGATCTGCTGGGAGTTCATACCATGCCATGCAGCAGGTTGGTCCCTGTGGCTCCTGCGGGGTGAGGAGTAGACTCCATCTTTTCAGCCAGGTGTCGAGAGCCGTACAGAGAGTCAGAGGCTGTCCACTGGAACAGAGCCTCTTCTCCATCAAAGAAGAGCAGTTGCAGTGTCAGGTTGGGGTTGGAGCTCTATGAGGCAATTAACAAGACAATGAAATGTCACTCCTCGGCTCAATCACAGTGTTCTGCTGACCCCTTGTGGACATTTGTATAAACAACAGATGCACTTGAGAAACTAAATGATAATAGTTAAGAGGCAGATCAGCAAATTAGTATACAGCAAAGAATTTATGATTTTTGATTTAAATTATTTAATTGATGAATACTTCAACAGTTATTTAACTCTGTCAACTTGATTGTGAGGATGGCATTCTAGATGATCAAATTAAAGCTTCACTGTTTCTCTAATAATAATAATAAGTCTTTTCATGTCTCTTGAATGCTTCACTGATAGACAGCAGAATTCGGCTGAGTCATGTCTCTGTCTATTTTGTGGGCAAACAGCGACCTGACAAAGCAAAACAGCACTGGAATACATAATGTACTTTTCATTATTGGTAGATTTACATCATAAACATAGAAACATGAGCCAACTAAGGAACAATTTGTCAAAACAGCATATTGAGTTACTATAAAAAGTGTTTCCTAACCTTCTGAGCTTTAAGTTCTTCATCCAAGGCCCGTGCCAGCTCAAGCATCATGGCACAGGGCACAGCAGAGTCCGTGGCGCCCTGGAACTCCCTGCCATGGAACTGTGGGGGGTAGTACTTAGAGTCATAGTGACAGGCCAGCACCAAGCGGCGTTTGGCTGAAGGGTTGAGAGTGGCAATGATGTTAGTGAAGGGCAGGGGGCCATATGGAGTCTGAGACATGAACCTGTCTTCTGTCACTTCCCATCCTGCACTCAGAGATCCCAAGGTTGTTTTGATGTGCTATAGAGAAGTTATAAGACTATTACATACTACACTTTTTGGCTATTATTGTGTAGACAGAGAATTATGTATATTTACTCACCTCTTGTACAGCCTGGCTTCCCGGAGATCCTGGGTACCTGGTGACAAGAAGCGGTCTTAAATCCCTCTGCCACATCTGATCCAAGTTAGTGTGAGAGAGAGCTGTCCGGATCTCTTCTGGTGTTAGCATGGTGGCTCTGTGCTGCAGCTAAAAGACAAAACGTACAGCATTTTCAAGGCATCACAAACTATTTGAAAGGAAGAGTAACATATTAAATGTAGGTTTTAGAATGGGATTCATGCATAAAATTACTGTAAAGAGATAAATGTTTGCTGTGATACCCCAACTAGTTATTCAGTATATTAAGATTATAAACAAGTGGTTTGATGACACATTATTGACACAATCGAAAAAGCCGAGTCATGGTCTACTATGTGCCAGTGATACTGTTATGTAACAGTATCATTGAGGTACCTCAACCAAGATATCAGATATCGTTACCAGAGCAAGTAGCAGAATTCTATTGATTATTCACTATCTTTATTTTACTTTTTAATCAATAGTGAAAAAATATTGACTGTCTAATACCATAAACTTTATTATTGATTTGAACACAAAGGTCACATGTACAAACCCCTGGTTGTTATGGTGACAATTAAACCGAATGTAGATAACACAGGTAAAACACAGTTTTCTTCACTTCAGAAAAATAAAATAAAATACAATTTTGTATTTCAGAATCAAAACATGCTCTTACGAAACCTGTTGGGGGTTGTCTATGAGTCATACACCCCTGCCATAATTAGAGAGAGCAGCTCCACTCCAGGGTTGTAATTTCATGTGGTCACAAGACCAGTACACCCCACAAGTAAGCTTGCCAAGCTTACTCAGGGTTAACTGGGGGGTCCTCTTAGTTTAGTCTATAAATATCGAGATGTGCAGTTGTGGAGGATCAATGATGGAGGCCTTGCTGCCATAGCAACCAGGGAGAAAGAAGACGAGAGTACATGAACATGAACTACCAAGCAGCCTTCCAGTGCATGTCAATGACAATTACTGTTCACAACAGATGCTTACCTGAGTATGGACCTTATCAGAGTCCACAAAATTAGACTGTTAATATATATTATATATTCCCCTATACAAGACAGCACTCATTTCAAAAATGTATTATAAACTATAATTTTAAGTTGTTTATTTGTAGTGTATGTGCTATTAATAAACAGAAATTTTGAGATTTAATGAACTGTAAACAACAGAAGATATGCCTCTTTTAAATGTGAAAAAGTATTACCAAAACATCTCAATGTACGGCCAAGGTGGAAAGGAATAGAAGCAATAGGTATCTTACCTTTTCTTGTGTCCAAGGGACCCCATAACTAGACTGGATATATGTCACCACTATGACCATCGTGTAAAAGAAACACGCTGTAGTCCGCTCAGCCATCGTTGTCGTCGCTCCTCTCCACATTCCAGGCTGTCCTCTCTACAAGCTTACGAATCATGTGAAAGGCAGGAGGGAGGACCCGTGGCTCTCAGCGCCGTTCAACACCGCGCACCGCCACTGCGCGTCACTGTGAGCGTGTCCATTCACTCAGTGGTGAAATATACTCAGAATACAAAATATATGCTCAAGTTTTCTTTATATATATATATATATATATATATATATATATATATATATATATATATATATATATATATATATATATATATATATATATATATATATATATATATATATATATATATATATATATATTTGACTACTTTTATCGACTTAGCCTATCACCTTTCGCGCCTTTTAATTACAATTAACATTATTTACGATGAAGTTGCCTCTGAACAAAAGTATCTTATTGTTTCTAGTGTAACTCATTTGTAAAAATCTAGATAAAGGCAATAAATCGTAGAAACTATAGTGATTATAACTCAAATGGCATGAACCACGTGGTCATAAACCACATGGTGTTGTGACGTAGAAACCCGGAAGATTAGCCAAGATGTGTTCTTGTGCTGGAGCCGCCAGACTGCATGTCTGTCAGTGTGTGTTTATAAGTGCGTCTACAAAATTCTTCTAAAGGAATACTTTGCTTTGTAACAGTAATGGACGCACGCGAAGAGAAACGCTTAAAAGAGCTGCTCAATGAGAAAGACAGTGAGATTATGGCTCTAAAGAAGAGATTGTCTCATTTTGAAAAGGTAAAATCAAACATCTCACAAAGAACTGTAATAGGCTATAGGAAGAATATACTGTTAATGATCTCACTAATTATTGGTAATTTTTGTAGCATGTTTATATATAGACAGAATAATGCATTTTATCTTAGATTCAGATTTGCATATTATGTTTTATTTATTTATTTTCAAGAACAAAAGCATCACTCTGGAGCTGCTGGAAAAGGTGAAGCCCCTATCCCCTTTAGAAGCCAAAGCTTCACTTACTAATGAAGAGATCATGCGTTACAGCAGACAACTTCTTCTTCCCGAGCTTGGTGTCCAAGGTAGTGCAACGTAATATAAAACATAAAGTCTCTTAAATACTAAATACATTTTCAGATTCAAACATCTCTGCTTGTAGGCCAGTTAAACTTGTCTAAGACCTCAGTGTTGGTTGTGGGCTGTGGAGGGCTGGGCTGTCCTCTTGCTCAGTATCTTGCAGCTGCAGGCATAGGTAATATTATATTTTATTGCTACGTGCTTCCATGTTTTCTTGAACTGTTATAGTTTGATTAATATGTTGTTCTTAAATTTAAACAGGACGCCTTGGTCTGCTGGACTATGACGAGGTCGAGCTTAGTAATCTTCACAGACAGGTGCTTCATGGCGAGGAGAACCAAGGACAAGCTAAAGCTTTGTCAGCAACGTACTCAGTTCAAAGGTTGTTACAACATTACTGCTTATGCTAAGGCTTGAGGAAAACAGGCGGTTAAGGGTGTAAATAAAGACTTACAAATTACCAGTAAATGTTAAACAATATACATAATATATAATATTTGTTAGCGTATCCTTTTTTGACTTTTTAAAAGTTGTCCCTGTCATGGCAAATATTTCGTACAGCCACAAGAGGGAGTTGTTGTTTGTTAAATTCCAAATGTATCTCATTTCTTACGTCCAGTCAGATAGAATATAATGCCTGATATGAATTTATTAAGGATGTTAACTGTGACACAATGCATCCACAGGCTGAACCCAAATGTGGAGTGTGTTCCCTACCACTTGCAACTATCATCGGAGAATGCCTTGCAACTTATTGAACAATATCCTTCTGCATCACGCTCATTCTACTGTATACATGTCATAACACACTTGGCACTGCCTTAGTAAGTGAGTCTTGAATGTATCTCCTTAACCTTTAATTTCACATATGACATTGTGGCAGACTGTTCAGACAATGTCCCTACACGCTATTTGGTGAATGATGCCTGTGTTTTAAGCGGAAAGCCACTTGTGTCTGCAAGTGCTTTGAGGATGGAGGGTCAGGTGAGATTAAATACAATTTTAAAATACTTTTGAGTTTAATGTCTATTTGTAATTGTACCTGTATTTTAATTTGTAGTTAACAGTTTACAACTATAAAGGAGGCCCATGCTACAGATGTCTCTATCCTGTCCCTCCACCCCCAGAGACAGTGACTAACTGTTCAGATGGAGGGGTGTTGGGAGTAGGTTAGTAACTTTTCATTATTGTTTTGTGAAAAAATCCATTTGTGTATGTATATTTTAAACTCCTTGTTGGTGATTAATTAAGATTAATAAGCTTAATTTTATGATGTGGTAAATAGATATTTGCAAATGTTAAAATATATTTGCAATAACAAAGCAAGCCACAGTTAACAGTTACAATTGCAACATTTTACTGCAATAGTAGTATTGCAAAAGAAATTTGAATTCTATCTATGAAATCTACCTGGATGACTGAGGGATTACATATATCCTTCTTAGAGTAGTAGTCAGACTGCATTTTGCATCTATTACATTTTTTAATGTTTACTATAAAGTATTTTTGTCGATTTAGTTCCAGGTATAATGGGGTGTTTGCAGGCGCTGGAGGTTCTCAAGATTGCTTCAGGACGTGGTTGCATCCTTTGTTTATAGTCCATACAAATGCGCAATGTATCATTTTGTTTAGTGCACTAAACAATTCTACTATTTTACCATATGACATCAATTTACAAACTCTTTGAGCTTATCTGACTGACTGAATGTTTATGGTCATATAAAAGATATATTTTTTGCATCCTGTTCTTCTATTGTACTGTAACACACTTGCTAACACCTGGCCTTGATAAGCATTGTTTAGTTTCAGTTTAGATGACATTTATACACAATCAGGACAGATGCCAGCTTATTCCATTCTCTTAGCTGAGGTGGATAGGGGATAGAAGCAGGGAAACAAAGTAGCCTTTTTCCTTAACCATGCATGCTAGCTTCCTGTGGCCAACAGCTTGCAATGTTTGATGCCTTGGAGACCAGGTTCAGATCCATCAAGCTCCGACCCAAACAGGCCAACTGTGCAGTGTGTGGAGAGAACCCCAGTGTTACCCAACTTGTGGACTATGAAGCCTTTTGTGGATCGGCTGCAACAGATAAGGTTGGTTTGGTTATAAAGGGTTAATACCAAAATAAACTGTGTAGGCTGGTCCAATAGTTGAGAACCATTATTATTATTACATACGTTTTTACATCTATTTTTATTTTATAGGAAAAAACACATATAAAATAAACAATAAAAGATTGACACACAGAGGGAACAACAATTCAATTCAAAAACTAGTAGATATTGTTTGGCATAATGTAGCTTGGCATATTTGTCCCACTTATACCAGTAATTGGTAGAATGTCCATTTCCAGTGAACTTCCCATTTAATTTCTCCATTGTATAAATGTCCATTGTTATTTAAGCTTTGTCACTGATAGTTGTCTCATTCTGTGACATTCATTTCTTTGTGAGCTTATTTCCCTGCTACTAAAAGTACATCCCTAAGGTATCCAGCCATTGTTTCTATTACAGGAGTAGGTTATTTCATATTACTGCAGGGTCTGTGGCTTAAACAGGGTATCATAATGTTATGGTCAATCACTGTGTGTATGAAAATGCTTCTTGTGTTTCAGTGTCAAAATCTCAAACTCCTCTCCAGAGATCAACGAATTACAGTGAAGGTATTGAGCCTTAAGTTTAAAACAAGTGTTATTTATGCTCTGTTTATACTTGGCCATGATTATTATAAAATTACCACCAATTTTCTAAGATTTTATGTTCATTTATAAACTGATAGCATCTCAGTAGTGACCCAGCCTTGAATAGGAAATGACCTAAAATTGGCCTGATAATTTTGTTATGGAAAAGAATGTTCTGTTTGGGACAAGAGTGTAGAGCTATTTAATATTCCAGCAGAATGGGTGCTTTCAAACCAGATGAGTCATTATGTGCACAGATGTTATCAACACTGATTCTGTGCTAATGAAGATTGTGCAAGAGTTTCAATTAGACACAGCACAGCTACTGATTTAGAGAGTATCCATTAATTTAAAGCACCTTCAGTCAATCCCACTGCTGAGTCATTTGGTTTCCTAACTAATTATTTCTACATTTAACAACATCAACATGTATGTATGTACTCCTACTTTTTAAAATGTAATTCAAGTTTTATCATAATTGCAGGAATATAAAACCATATTGGACAGGACTGACCCCCATATTCTCTTGGATGTGCGTCCCGATGTGGAGGTGGACATATGCCACTTGCCCTTTTCCCTCAGTATCCTTCTGATCCAGATCCAGATATGGCTCTGTCTATGGGGATCATGTGTTCTCCTCCATATGTTTGCCTGGTTATATTGCTTATATTGCTGCCAGACATCCCACTCTCAAGTTTAGAGGAGAGGAAGAGTGATCAGATCCAGTTACTAAGGGACAGAATCAGCCAGTTGAAACAGCAGATGGCAGGTGACTGCCAGCCTGCAGGTAACGTATCAAAACACCACTCATGACTATTCATGCTTTTTAAAATGACCAGACACGTAAAGCCAAGTTTACATATTCACAGTCCATGCTGTTGTCTCAAAATGTGTGCGTGGTGGCATATCTTACACTGCTAGTAACAGATTGTAATGGTGTTGCTAGGCAATCCCTTTTCCAAAGCAGGTTCTGTCAACCTGGACAGCTGGCCTGCTTGAAAAATCACTATTCATTAACTTTATTTTAGTGTTCTAAATATTTATCTCTGTGGTCTTTATATACCAATGAGCTAAAGTTAACTCTAAAGTTAACTTTAAAGTTAACTTTAAAGTTAACTTTCCCCTTGTATGAATCTAATCATTTCATTTTTTTAAATTTTCAGTTACAAAAGATGGCAAAACAGTATTAGTCTTATCTGTTGAATATACAGCAAGCTATTAGTAATGCATGATATGGTATTAAAATGTTGTCTTATTATTTTCCAGTGTTTGTAATCTGTAAGCTGGGCAATTTCTCCCAAAAGGCAGTGAAAATATTGGAAGAAATGAGTGGATCAGAAATAGACCAAATCACAGTGAAAGACATTTGTGGTGGTCTTATGGCGTGGGCCAACACAGTGGACCAAACTTTTCCGCAGTATTAAGAATGTAAAAGATTTTATTTCAAGTATATTTTGTCCAGTTAATAAACATTTTCATGTATTTTATTTTCTATTGTGTGTGTTTTATTTTTTCATAAGGAATGGCTAGATATATAGCAGTCTTGTTTTAATTCTTGTAATTTAATTCATTAATTTGTTATTGACAGTGTAATAAACATCTTCCCTGTAGGCTACCAAAAAGCCAAAGACCAAAGCCTTTATAAAACAGAAGTCTGTGCGTAAAACCAATAAAATTAAGTTAGAGCTGCACGTAAAGTTCCTTTCAACTCCACTTCTAAGTTTCTAGTATGGTCTGAAGTGCAGAGTTTTTTTCTGGGCAGCCCTTGTTAAAATAACGGAAAAGGAAGGCACATGCGCATTGGTTCGTGCACCGTTGTGGGCGCCATTGCTTTACAGGGAGTGTAGTTCAAATATTCCTTCGCTCACATGGAAAGTCAGTTATGCGGATATAATAAAAGACTCCAAGCCCCAGTCGCGGCCGCTACTCTTTTCTCGTCAAGCAGGGGGAGTAGTCACAGCTGGAAGGATAATAAGATGCGCATGAATTTACAATTTGGAATAAAGATAAGAGAAAATGAGCAACCAGATCTACATCGTCGCGCTTTTGACTTTTTCTAATGTTTCTGAATCTAACCCGGGACGCGCCGTCGTGCTTTTGGCTGCGAGAGGAGACCAGTAAAGTTTCGGGACTGCTTTCCTCACTTGATGAAGTTACAAAGTTTCTTCAGTCACAATGGAAAGAAAGGCGCCCTTCGCCGACTGTGGAGGTAACGCGTTTTTCTCACACATCTACCACAGTGTTTTGGTGCAACCCAACATTTGGCCAAAAATACAGTTACTGTGCAACATAATCTGACGAGAATGTGCAAATCCAGATCCTTGTATAACCTTGTTTTGCTGGCATTCGAGACAAGACTTGTGCTCTGCCAGCGAGCCACTTACAAGTAGGAGGGGTGCAGATGTGTTCGAGCCTTGGATCCAGATGTTTTTTGAAAAAGTATTTCTCATCTGCCGGCTCACAATTTAATTATCCTATAGACTATTTTAGAGTTGTAAGTGTATTTATTTTCGGAGTAAAATGGGTCTTATGTTAAACATTTGTGATACACTAAGCATCGTTTCAGTGTGTAAGAAGTAGCCCACTGTAGGCTCCAAGAACTCACCCCTGATACCCAACTTTTAATCATCACCTTATTTGTAAGGATGAAAAGTTTGTCTTAATGAACTAAAATGTGTGTTTGTGGTGACAGGCATCCTGTGGTCACAGTGGACTTCACGGAGAAGGAGCTCCATATGAAGTTTGTTGAAGTGTTTGCAGAGTGTTGGGGGCCACTCTTATAACAGTTTAATAAAAAGGACTGGATATATAAGATTGTTCCTATTTAAGAGACCAAATGTAACTCACTAAAAGAGAGGACTACTGTATAGACCTTTTGACTCTTTGAGTGGATATCCACACATTTTAATACAACTGAGACTTAATCATTGTTCACGTCACTATCGGAAAAACTCCAATGTCTGCCTCGTCTCCCCCAGCCTTACCTCGAGCCTTCCTCCACACTCTCCCTCCTCACCACCCTCCGCCCTCAGTTGCACCATCCACCCCATCTCCGTCTCCAAGTCCACCTGGGCCAGTCTACACACGGCTATCAAACGGCAGCCACAACGCCCCCAGCCCCACTAACTCCCGCGGTTCCTTCCAAGGGGTGTCCTTCCTGCTGCAAATTGGCCTGACTAGAGAAACAGTCAACCTAGATCCCAGTGACCCATCGCTGTCATCTGTCAAAGATCTAGTCTGCTCCATTGTGGACCAGAAGGTAAACATCCTCCCATTAAAGTCTGCTCATTTTGAAGTAAGCCTACAAATACTATATGTCCCTTGTTTGTGTTTCATAACATGGCCATGGTGTACATAGTGCTATTGTCCAACATATTTAAATAAATCTATGATGTAGTGCATCAAAGAATTTGTTTACAATGGTCTATAGCCTCAACAATGGGGATGACCTTAGATTTTGGAATGTGTGACAATGTGATCAACAAATCAGAGACATGAGCCTTCATATTTGGAAACACAAAGGCTCATACTCTCTCTATATATACTAAATACTCTCATACTATATTTTATACTTAAAACTGCAAAGCTCTTAATCAAACAGCTCATTTTGACCCTGATATGACACTAAACATATTGTTCATAACATACTGCACATTATTGGTCACACCTAGCTTAGTGAATGTATTTATTGCAGCTGTAATCTTGATGGATTGCTGCTGCTCCATAACCTGGAATAATGAAATTGCGTCTGTGTGCGTGCATACACAGCACGCTGTGTTTCAGCCTTTGGCCAATAATGTTGATTACTGAATTTGCTTTTGCAATTATCATCAACTAAATAAAAGTGATGGTGATTAAACAAAGCACTCTTAATCAGCCTCAGTAGCTGTTTGTATACTGTATCACAAGTGTTTGCGCTGTTTAAATGTTACTTTGATTAACTTTAAGTAAAAGTCATCGGATATCAGATAAGAGCTGGTCCAATGTCCCAGTTGGCATTCCAGAGAAGCGGAGTAATGTTGTTGTTCTTTATGAGGTCTGCTGATTCAAGTGAGCGGTGAACAGTGTGTCCATAGAACAGAAAAAAAAACATTATTGATGTGTAATACACATAGGATTGGGAGAAATGAGAAAAGTTGTTTAAGGAGGAAGGAAGTTGCAGTAGTCCTCAACCCTTTTCAGTTAAGTTGCCCTTGACATATTGCAAATGGCTGTCCCTGAACAGTTTCTTGTTTTTCTCTTTACCTTTCTTGTCTTTTTTTAGCCAGAATGGCCACTGCAAACCTGTCACATGATAATATGGTGTAGTATTAAACTACCCACATTCTATACTTTATGTACCTCTTTAGGGGAAGATAAAGTTTTTCTGCCTATAGTTACTCTGGCTCATACTTGGCACTGCTTTACTAATTAAGACTGTAACAAATGTAACAAATTAAAACACATACAAACACACCATATTAGTTAATCTAGAGTTTTCTGACAATAATTGGCATCGGCAGCCAAAATTATATATATTTTTGCCTTACAATAAAATGATTATAACACAGTAAAAGAGTTGTTTTGAGTTTTTGAGAAGTTTTTTTTTTTCCATATTTGATCATAATCATAATCAGGGCGCTGTATATTGTGTAATATTTGAGGCACTAACACCTTGTCAATGCCTGATCTCCTCAGATCTTGAAAATCAAGAAAAGTTGGACCAAGTTTTTACTTGGATGGAGCACTGCTGGGAATACCAGGTGCAGCAGTGGGGTGGAAGTGGAAATGTCCTTGGGCAAGACACTTCATGCCTAGTCATGAATGTGTGTGCATGGGTGTTTGGGATAGGCGGAGGGTCTGATGGCGCCAATTGGCAGCCTTGCTTCTGTCAGTCTACCCCAGTGCAGTTGTGGCTACAATATAGCTTAGCACCATCAAGTGTGGAGTGAATGAATAATGCACAAAATTGCTATTATCATAGTAAGAAGTAATTTCCCCTTGTGGATCAATAAAGTTTGTCTAAGTCTGGTAACTACAGTTTCTATTGAATTGTACCATATTGTGCAAAGCCTTGGCAGCTTCTTAAAAACCAACCATATGGCTTTGATATTATTGGAAAATATGACTGTATCCTTCTGTTGCACTCCCTTGTCCTTCCCTGCTTTTGCTCTTGCTGCATCTGCATGACAGTGTTGATCCTTTATAGAAGTCTGCTCATCCTGCTTTTCCTGCTCATGACATCAGCCAAGGCGTTGACAGTTCCCCCGTGATGTCTCTGGTCAGCACAAACTCAGGTGTCAGGCCGCAACAGCAACACAAGGAAATAATAACCTGACTTGTGTAATATCTTGACTTCAACTCTACAAGTATGTTCTCTTTTGCGGGCCAGCTTTATTAACATGACTCTACAATATTTGCAGAATGATGCTCTCCTTTACTAAAATCATTCCTTGTTTTCAGTTTACAGCTGGACGTGGTTTGGACATGCACAAGCGTAGTAACAAAGGGTTGTTGATTTTCATGCTGTTATATTTGGTCATAGTTTATTCTGGGGTTGGTTCGGGAGGACACCATAAACACCTCAGATGCCATAATGTTGTTGTTTTTTAGATGTGATGTTACATAGTTCAAACTCTGAGTGACTGGCCTTTGTAAAAACACAGATCAATAGTTGGTTACATGGCCTAGAGCCAGTGCTGGACTCAATAGCCTCATTTTAGCTTCCTTTTTTGTTCAGTTCTCTTCATTTACTTTGAAGCAGGCTCTTTCTTTATAGGTACTTGTGACCATCCATAGCTTAGGGATACACAGAGTTTCCCAGTCAAGTCTCTTGCCTCTGCTAGGACAGCTGTGAAATTTCCAGATGGCTGTTTGCTCTTTTTTACTGTGTATAAAGTTTCATGGGTTTAAGGGTAATATTTCATATATTTCCTGGGCCTTCTAGCGTTGAATTTATCTCATTGTTTGACAGGGTCATGCAGCCCTTCAGTATAGCAGTGCATTGTATAGATTTTGTACGCCTCATTCCTTCACAGGCTAAGGAGCTGACCACATGACTTGGCACACACACCATGCACTAGATTCACTTTCAGTCTGTGTTTTGTACTCATCTGAATGTGGTTTTGATAATCGTGGCTCTTGGACCACATTTATCTTGATGCTAGTGGTTAGTCTGGTATTATATAGGTTCAGATCAAGTGCACTCTGTGGTCATGTCTACAAAAAGGTGAACAATAATTTGAATACACCATATTTGATTAAACTAATCTATAATCATGACTATATGTTATGTGACATTATAATTTCAAAATTGTTTAAGAGATATGAAGATTTGAACACCATAAATAAGCAATTTTAATGTAATCTATTCCCCAGAAATTTAATTTCAGTTCAAACTTTTTCCTGACTCACGGTCCATTTAAAAATAAACAGATATCACATTAACATGACTTTTTCATTCAGAAAGTTTGATTTGATAAAGCTATAGTTTCCTCCAAATCTGAGAAGGAAAATGCATAATACTTATGTCAGCCCTGTTGTTTGTTGACTCTCTCCCAGCTGAAATTCACCATGCCGTTGTAGATCTCACTGGTGATGTCCTATTGACAGCTCCTCAGAGGCTGGTCCAGCTCTCTTGTTTCTTTGCGGGGCCCCGTCTGTTTGGTGGGTTTGAATGAATGGCATGAGATAAACACCCATTGCTTCCACTTGTTGAGCACTTCCTGTTTTGTGGTGCTATAGTCCTCCTCTCATGCAACTACCAGGGTGTAAGAAGCTGTGGGTGTACAAAAGTTCACGACTCCTTGAGAATGGCTCCCAGTTAGCCAGCTGGTGAGCCCGCACCGCCAGTCTGGCCAGGCAGTGCATTCTTCTTCACTCTCGCATTTTTGGAGGATGATGTGATTCTCTTGGGTCAGATAGAACTAGGCCACGGGAAAAGTGAATAGTTTATTTCGACTAAGCGATGACTTTAGCGCCCAACATCTCATGAGTGATGTAACAGCACTTGCATAATCTTTGTAATGTACTTAAACGATTGCACAAAGCTTGTATAACATAGTTTATGTCAATGGAAAACTTAACTGTCACCTTATGATTGAGTAAGTTCTACCCATAACAGGAAACAGGAATGTGAAGAAATGTAATGCAAAGAGACAAATAAACAAAAAAACATTACAACTAAAGACAATATTGATCAGATAAATCACATCTCCTGTTATACGCCATAAGTTCACAGCTGCATGCTTCTTTCAAATTGGCAACCATGTGTTACCCCAGAGTATACAGAAACACACAGAATTTATCTATGATGATGTACAAAATTCCTGGAAAGCACCCGGTATATGGTCGTATATCAAAAACGCTCCAAAAACAGTATGTAGTATCTGTAACTGACTTTATATATGCATTTCTTGTAGCTAGGAGATTTTAGACATAAAAGTAAAACAGTAAAAGTGTATCATAACAATGAACCATAACTTGTTAATATAAAAACAGCTTGTTCAAAAGTCAATTACTTCTTCAGTCTTGGAGTAATTAGTGGAAAAGGCCGAAACAGAGGAAAAAGGGAAAATGTTCTCTGATGTTAAGTGTACTAAGTAATTTCTACCATCTGTAATGCACATTTCTCCTTTCTTGTTCTGCTTTTAAACGTCAAGTGGCAAGGCGGAGCTGAGGTCCTGGCCACAAGAGTCAGGCAATGACAGAGTACAGAAGAGGGTCCCCCAGTGAAAAACACTAGTGGCTTGGGCAGGTCTGCTGGTAAATTCTATAAGAGACACAGAAACATGCGAGGCTGCTGTTAAGCTTGAGCCAAAACTGTCAAAAATACTAAGTTGAATTTATTGTAGCGCTGTAGGTCACACAAATGTTCCCCACTTTGCTTGACTTTGGTCAGAGTCAGATAATCCCCCATCACTCCAATCTCTTAATGCTGGCTGAACAGGGTTTAAATGTAATTGAAGTGGTCTGCATTTTGACACCATGTCCTTCTGAAGTCACTCACCTGTGGGACTTCTTGACTTCATTCATAAATTTGTGGCCATTGAAAGTTCACCAAGAGAGGATATTACACTTCCACATATTAACCACACCTGCCCCTTAGTTTAACACTGACTGCACTTGGCCATCATCAGCACTTTTGCTGGAAATCAACTGTGACAAATGCGCACAGGGTTAGGTACACTTTGGGACATTCTCTGAAACACAAAATTAATAAAAAGCTGCACTCCGTATCTTTTCTGGTTGCGAGTATGTCACCTGCTTGTCTCCATAGAAATATTATTGATCTTCTGTCTTGTATTTATTCATTTA